TTTGCCTTGACATTGCTTGACTTCACTTTCAAAAACCTGTGTCTTGAAACCAAGGACTCTGATGGTCATCTTTTCTTGGAGAAACTCAAAAGAACAGGGGTGGGTAGCTGCAGCTACTACTATTGTGGTTGGCCCTCAGACTGCAACAGAAATCTTTCATATCCCACTTGTATCATCTATTACTAAATATTTAGTTAGAATGTTTATTTAATGGGCAGCTGATTTACCTTGTGATGTGGTCCAGATTCTTAACCCTGAGACATCTGATCCCAGAGTCTCCATGCCTTTTTAGTTTATGACTGGTTCATTTATCCCTCTATAATAAAATTCCGCAAAGGAATTCTCAAGAAGTAAAAGCTTTGTATCATGTATAACAATAACTCTTCTGATTTCTGGTATCAAGGTTAATAATTTTGGTTGAGGCAATTGATCTTTCTCTGCAGAATCCAAGGTGATCATGCAGTAAATACAGTCTGATATTTGCCAGGATTCTGCGAAAGCATGCCACTATGAGCATCAAAGCCTGCAGATCTGCAAGTAGGGGCAGCACAGGCTCCCCAGGTCAGTGGGAGTGACAGAGGTAAGATTACCTTTATTTACACTCCTTACATATCAGGCTTGAGCGCCTCTGGGTAGTGAGGCCAGACCATCACACCATGAGGTTTAATATAGGCCATACACTGCACCAGGACACATTAGAGCCAGTTTCCTTACGTTTTGTTTCCCAGATGACTTCTAAATGGGACTCTGCCATCCCCTTCCCAGACCAGCTGAGGGGTCGCCTGCCATAATAACTAGTAGACCCCAAGCCTGCAAATCCACAGAGTATTTCTTTTCCTGTACAGAGTCCGTTGGTCCAGTATGATGCTAAGTGAGGATCCATGTTGGTTACCAAGCTCAGTACACCCTTGGTTAATGGCGGCGGTAGAGGGGAGAAAAGCACATCCATGTTTAGAATTCACTTTGATTGCCCTGAAGGTGAATTTCTGTCCCCTTAAAGGTAGAAGAGGTTCAATTGTCAACCTGTAGACACATTACTCTTCCTGATCTCTGGTGACACATACAGGACATGGTGTTGATCTCTACTGCTGGCACATTGAACATTTGACAGTGGCAGTAACTAGATAGTATTCTGGTTTCTGTCACAGGCACATATACCATGCCTCTTGTCAGTTGACTCCATTCATGGGACTTTCGTGTAAGAACTAGGGCTACCAATGAGAAGAATCTGCTGTGTCAACAATCAACCAAACAAACAAAAAGAGTAGATTCTTTTCATTTAAGCTTAATTGAAACATAAAAAATAATAAAATTATTCATATATAAGGTACCCAGTGCCATGATTGTATATGCACATATGATGAAATAATGACCGCCATATGACTCACTGGTACATGTCCAGTCGAGAGCATGCCTTTTGGTATATATAGTTAGTATGCTTTGTTGGTAGATAATTGAATCCTGTGCAGCGATACTCTTTTATTAGCTGTTTATTTCCAACTTTGTAGTCCAGCCTTTCTGATTCAGCAAGCTCAGGATCCAAGTCTTATGCCCATGATCCTGGTGCCTATTGGTTCAGAATCATAGGCCATATAATTCTTTTTTTTTCCTTTGTTTAACTTTTTCTTTTTTTTAAATTTTATTTCCATTCAAATATTTACACTTCCTTCCCTTCTCTCAATCCTCTCCCACTCCCCTACACCCTCTCTTCCCTTTCCCACCCTGCTTGAGAGAGGGCAGGGAACCCTGCCCTGTGGAAAGTCCAAGGTCCTCCCCCCTACATCCAGGCCTAGGGAGCTGTGCATTCATATAGACTAGGGTCCCAAAAAGTCAGAACATGCCGTAAAAGCAAGTCCCAGTGCCTTTATCAATGACTTCTCAGTCAGCCCCCATTGTCAGCCACAATCAGAGAGTCCAGTTTGATCACATGCTCATTCAGACCCGGCCCAGCTGGATTTGGTGAGCTCCCATTAAAACAGGCACATTGCCTCAGTTGGAGGACCAACCCCTCACGGTCCTGACTTTCTTGCTCGTCTTCTCCCTCCTGTCTTTCAGCTGGACCTTGGGAGCTCAGTCCATTCTCTGATGAGGGTCTCTGTCTCTATCTCCATCCATCGCTGGGCGAAGATGCTATGGTGATATTCGAGATAATCATCAGCGTGATAGTGGGGCAAGGACAGTTCAGGCACCCTCTCTTCTGCTGATTAAGGACCTAGTTGGGGACATCCCCGAGGACACCTGGGATCCCCTCTAGAGCCAAGTCTCTTACCAACCCTAAACTGAATCCTTTAAAGTAGGTATCTTCTTCCCTGCTCCTATATCTGCCCTTCCTCCATCTCCACCCTCCCACTCCCCCAAGCTCTTGCCAGTTCTTTCCTTCTCCCTTTCGCCTTTGAAATGTAGACTCCTTCTCTCCTTAGCAGACTCTGGCCCTTCCAAAACAGGGTTGTGCAAAGACTTAATTCAGTTACTGGCTTGGAAGATATTATTGAGACAGTAAGACACATTCAGACACATTGCATTCAGACAAAGAGTGTCATTGACCTCGACCTGGGCAAAGGATATCTGTCAATATCCAGTGTTCAGAAAATGATAGGGAGAATCATGATGTCTCAATGCATCGACTCGACTGTCCTCAGTCCAAGCAGAAGCCCTGGTAATACACAGCTGCCATGATGACACTTACTATAAAAGGTTTGAGTCTCATGATCAACTTCAAAGACTGAGCCATAACTTTTTCTGCCCTCATTCTATAGAAACTCTGAATCTGTAGAGTTGTCAAAGTGGCTAACTTATTTCCACACTTATTCTTCAAGTGGTAGATAATTTTAAAAGTCTTTTCTTTCTTCCTTTAAATCATCTAATGCCTAACATTTGATCATAAATTTTGATAATGTTTGTGTCTGTTTGTTTTATAGACTGTAGATGAACCCAGCTGTCCTTTGACTTCCTGTGTAATCCGGACCCACATTTAAAGTTTGATCCTCCTGTCTCAGTGTCCTAAGTGCTAGGGTTATAGTGTGTGCATCACACCAAGAGATCAGTATGGTAGCCCTGATAGTCTTTCTGTAGCATTTGACGCACACACAATAGTGCATTCTGTCAATATTGTACTGGTTATCTCACACTGTGTAACAAGTCACCCTCTAATTTTAATGTCTTAAAAATGTTAATAGAAATCTGTTATTCCCATAGCTTGCTGAGTCTCTGCCTCAGCATATGTCACTGGCTGGTCCCGTGTCCTCCAGACCTGCACTCTTAGAAAGTTTGACCAATGAAGGAGTATTTCAAAGTTTTGCTATATGTTAGAACTCAGAGTCTTTAAGAGACACTTAAACACCCTCTTGACATGGTTGTAGGCTTCTAGAAGATGAAGTAATCAAAAATTCCAAGGTGGGAATTTTAGTGTGCCAAAATATAGCCTCAGAAGTAACTCAGTGTTACTTTAGCAGTATTCTGGTAAGTATTTAGAGTGCTTTTCCAGTGTGGGAAGGAATTACTGGAAGGTATGCAGGCTGGTAAGAAGGCTCACTGTCCGTTTTAGTGATGCCCATGTCAGCACAACACTTGAGATTTTGCTATCAATGAAAATGTCCTCAGCTATAACACTGCTGCAAGTCACGACTGTACGCATCCTTCAGAAACAACCTTAATGGGCCTTGACAACTGACGACAAACAGATAGCTCCAAAATTGCATTTTGAGTCTATATGCTTGGGCCAATCCTGGTGATAGTAGGTAGTCGCAAAATTGGCACTAAGTAAATCAGGGACACAGGAAGAAAACTGGAAATCAGGACAGCTGAGCTTCTATCTTATTACATCAATGATGTCTGCTGATTCAAGGGGAGCTCCATAACCTGGAAGCATATTTTGAGTTGTGCTAAGTTAAGGCCAGATAGCAGGTCATTTGTAGTATACTATCTAACAGTAATTAAGTAAATAGATATATAGATTCCCATCTATCTTCTATCTATTAGTCATTGGAGTAGGCGAGTCTTCTGTCTATGTGTTACTTTCATTGGTTAATAAAGAAACTGCCTTGGCTTTTTGATAGGGCAGAATTCAGATAGGTGGAGTAGACTAAACAGAATACACGGAGAAAGAAAGCAGAGTCAGACATACGCCATGATTCCCCTTCCTGGGATGGATGCTGGCTAGACTCATGCCGGTTAGCCACGACCTCGTGGTGGCATACAGATTATTAGATATGGGTTAGTCAAGATGTGAGAGTTAGCCAATAAGAAGCTAGAACTAATGGGCCAGGGAGTGTTTAAATGAATACAGTTTCCGGGTAATTATTTCGAGTGTAATCTAGCTGGGGAGCCGGGATCCTAGCGGGAAAGCAGCCCGCTGCTCCTTTTGCAACAAGTCATCTATCTATCTATCTATCTATCTATCTATCTATCTATCTATCTATC